ACATATATTTATATTATTATATATATCTTTATAGAGTGCTACTTTTATGACAATTGGGCACAGGTTATTGGCTCGGTTTTCCATTCCAAATGTATGTCTGTGTGTGTGGGTTTATTTTTCTGAAGTTAGTACAAAAACTCTCTGGCAGGTATTTGTCCTGGCATAGGTTGTGTTTGAAGTTCTCAGGACCAATGAATCACTTATTTCTACAAACACACTGATGTTTTTTTTAAGGACTGTTGGACCAATGTTGCATCACGCATGGATTCATCACCACGGCTCGTTTTATGTTGACCTACAGTATCAGAGCTGTGTTTTAAATGCCTCAAATTCTGTCCCATTTTCCATTAGAAATGCAGAAATAAAATAAATGTAATGAACACCAGTATTACTTTCCCCCAGCCTATCCACTCACCCCAAGCTCTTCCTTAACAGACAGAAATTATTTAGATGGAAAAATAGTAAAAAAATAAATACAATAACATATGAATAAGGAAAACCCACAGAGTTGAATTTAAACATCAGATATTACATTTAAAAAAACTTTACATTTACTTTTCTTCACAGAAGTGAACCAAATGCTGACATATAGGCCTACTCTGTACACATCATCAACCTGAGAAGATGGCAGCCCCCTTTTCTCTGGCCCTCCATCCTCCTGGGCATCCACTGGATAACTTTTCTAGTTGTTTCATATCTATTTAACTTCATATGCCCTTCATATACAATATGCAATATGTCATATACAAGATAAAACACAATTCTATTTTAAATGTATTTTGTTGGGTGCTAAATAATGGCAAAGTCAAACTTTGATATGTGCTTGTGGTCCTGTGTGCTTTATTGAGTTAACCTCTGCAACCAAGCACCATTAAATGGTTTACCTGCCCACTGGAGTAGCTAACTGTTAGCTTTAGAAGATAACCAACACTAGCAATGTTAATTGGTTAGGTTATTGGTTAGCAACCAAACAGCTGTTGTATGCTAACCTTACTTGTTTATTATTGTCAGTTTTAATTTGCGCTTCATTTGTGTATCTGTTCATCTAATGCTGTGTGAACTGTCTCCATTTATGGTAGAGATGAGTTAACTGGACCCTCTCTGGTCATATAACATGTATTTTTGATTTATAAACTCTAGTGTGGTCTACAAATGTGTATATTGTGTGCAATTATTATGTATGTAGTCACCATTTTCACCGGAAATACTATAAACAGATAATAAATGATAACTGGAGAGATAACAAAAATGTTGTTTTTTTTTAACTATTAACTGGGGTTAATTACTAAAAAGGACCATTATTTCATCTCTTGTAAACAATCACATGATTACTACAAAACACCCATTGACACAACCACTGGAGGGAGAGGAACCAGAGGAACCTCAGCACACCATGTTAATTCCTGGCAGCTGTGGCTTAGAGGCA